CATTTTAAAACATATCTAGGTATTATAAATGATAAAGAATGCTAATATAGATATAAAATCTATATAATTTTTTTAAAAATAGCCTACTATGATCAAAACTAAAAATGCTTTAAATTGCATTTTTAAACACATCTAGGTATTATAAATGATAAAGAATGCTAATATAGATATAAAATCGATATAATTTTTTACCACGTTTTTCTTAACTTGCTTTCTTATCTGTCTGTTTATCTTTCTGTTTATCTGTCGAGGTCAAATCTTTTAATCGATTTTTCGACCTCTTCTACTGCTCCAATCGAGCTGAAATTTTGCATGCACTTATTTTTCCGGTGACAATACAATATTCAAGCGTTTTGGAAACTCAAGTATGCTTAATTATAGTACAATTAAATTAATTTTCTCCTCTTTAAGGCTTAGCTTATTTTTACATAACATATATACAACTTTCAATTATTATAAATTTCAAAAAGCCGTTGTAAGTTTTAATCACAAAAAATACGTTGTACGACTTTCTATGGTTAAATTCTAGTTTACAAACTTATGCTGTGCGATAGCACAGCTGATCGATAGATACTTTAAATAATTTTTTAAAACTAAAAATAATAAATAACTTTTTTATTGGGTTCAAAGGACATTGGTTTGAAAATTGAGATTGATTTGAAAGTTTCATACTAAAGTCATGACCATACATGAATTGCAAATTTATTCACATCGACCATATCGTATAGTTCTACATCTTAAAACGTGGGCGCATTTATACCAAATTTAAGCTTTCCAAAAATACAATATTAATAAATGTATTATAAATGATAAAGAATGCTAATATAGATATAAAATCGATATCTTTTGGTGAAAATAGCCTACTATGATCAAAACCAAAAATGCTTTTAATTGCATTTTTAAACACATCTAGGTATTATAAATGATAAGGAATGCTAATATAGTTATAAAATCGATATAATTTTTTTAAAAATAGCCTACTATGATCAAAACCAAAAATGCTTTAAATTGCATTTTTAAACACATCTAGGTGTTTTAAATGATTAAGAATGCTAATATTGATATAAAATCGATATAATTTTTTTAAAAATAGCCTACTTTGATCGAAACCAAAAATGTTTTGAATTGAATTTAAAAACATATCTATGTATTATAAATGATAAAGAATGCTAATATAGATATAAAATCGATATAATTTTTTTAAAAATAGCCTACTATGATCGAAACCAAAAATGCTTTAAATTGCATTTTTAAACACATCTAGGTATTATAAATGATAAAGAATGCTAATATTGATATAAAATCGATATTTTTTGGTGAAAATAGCCTACTATGATCGAAACCAAAAATGTTTTGAATTGCATTTTAAAACATATCTAGGTATTATAAATGATAAAGAATGCTAATATAGATATAAAATCTATATAATTTTTTTAAAAATAGCCTACTATGATCAAAACTAAAAATGCTTTAAATTGCATTTTTAAACACATCTAGGTATTATAAATGATAAAGAATGCTAATATAGATATAAAATCGATATAATTTTTTACCACGTTTTTCTTAACTTGCTTTCTTATCTGTCTGTTTATCTTTCTGTTTATCTGTCGAGGTCAAATCTTTTAATCGATTTTTCGACCTCTTCTACTGCTCCAATCGAGCTGAAATTTTGCATGCACTTATTTTTCCGGTGACAATACAATATTCAAGCGTTTTGGAAACTCAAGTATGCTTAATTATAGTACAATTAAATTAATTTTCTCCTCTTTAAGGCTTAGCTTATTTTTACATAACATATATACAACTTTCAATTATTATAAATTTCAAAAAGCCGTTGTAAGTTTTAATCACAAAAAATACGTTGTACGACTTTCTATGGTTAAATTCTAGTTTACAAACTTATGCTGTGCGATAGCACAGCTGATCGATAGATACTTTAAATAATTTTTTAAAACTAAAAAGTAGAAAATAAATACTTTATAAAAAAAACTTTTTAAAAAACCACGTTTTACCCGTGGACTAAAAAGTAGAAAATAACTTTTTTATTGGGTTCAAAGGACATTGGTTTGAAAATTGAGATTGATTTGAAAGTTTCATACTAAAGTCATGACCATACATGAATTGTAAATTTATTCACATCGACCATATCGTATAGTACTACATCTTAAAACGTGGGCGCATTTATACCAAATTTAAGCTTTCCAAAAATACAATATTAATAGATGTATTATAAATGATAAGGAATGCTAATATAGATATAAAATCGATATCTTTTGGTGAAAAAAGCCTCCTATGATCCAAACCAAAAATGTTTTAAATTGCATTTTAAAACATATTTAGGTATTATAAATGACAAAGAATGCTATATAGATATAAAATCGATATAATTTTTTACCACGTTTTTCTTAACTTGCTTTCTTATCTGTCTGTTTATCTTTCTGTTTATCTGTCGAGGTCAAATCTTGTAATCGATTTTTCGACCTCTTCTACTGCTCCAATCGAGCTGAAATTTTGCATGCACTTATTTTTCCGGTGACAATACAATATTCAAGCGTTTCGGAAACTCAAAAATGCTTAATTATAGTACAATTAAATTAATTTTCTCCTCTTTAAGGCTTAGCTTATTTTTACATAACATATGTACAACTTTCAATTATTATAAATTTCAAAAAGCCGTTGTAAGTTTTAATCACAAAAAATACGTTGTACGACTTTCTATGGTTAAATTCTAGTTTACAAACTTATGCTGTGCGATAGCACAGCTGATCGATAGATACTTTAAATAATTTTTTAAAACTAAAAAGTAGAAAATAAATACTTTATAAAAAAAACTTTTTAAAAAACCACGTTTTTACCCGTGGACTAAAAAGTAGAAAATAACTTTTTTATTGGGTTCAAAGGACATTGGTTTGAAAATTGAGATTGATTTGAAAGTTTCATACTAAAGTCATGACCATACATGAATTGTAAATTTATTCACATCGACCATATCGTATAGTTCTACATCTTAAAACATGGGCGCATTTATACCAAATTTAAGCTTTCCAAAAATACAATATTAATAGATGTATTATAAATGATAAAGAATGCTAATATAGAAATAAAATCGATATCTTTTGGTAAAAAAAGCCTACTATGATCCAAACCAAAAATGTTTTAAATTGCATTTTAAAACATATTTAGGTATTATAAATGACAAAGAATGCTATATAGATATAAAATCGATATAATTTTTTTTAAAAATAGCCTACTATGATCAAAACCAAAAATGCTTTTAATTGCATTTTTAAACACATCTAGGTATTATAAATGATAAGGAATGCTAATATAGATATAAAATCGATATAATTTTTTTAAAAATAGCCTACTATGATCAAAACCAAAAATGCTTTTAATTGCATTTTTAAACACATCTAGGTATTATAAATGATAAGGAATGCTAATATAGATATAAAATCGATATAATTTTTTTAAAAATAGCCTACTATGATCAAAACCAAAAATGCTTTAAATTACATTTTTAAACACATCTAGGTGTTTTAAATGATTAAGAATGCTAATATAGATATAAAATCGATATAATTTTTTTAAAAATAGCCTACTATGATCGAAACCAAAAATGCTTTAAATTGCATTTTTAAACACATCTAGGTATTATAAATGATAAAGATAACGAATGCTAATATTGATATAAAATCGATATTTTTTGGTGAAAATAGCCTACTATGATCGAAACCAAAAATGTTTTGAATTGCATTTTAAAACATATCTAGGTATTATAAATGATAAAGAATGCTAATATAGATATAAAATCGATATAATTTTTTACTACGTTTTTCTTAACTTGCTTTCTTATCTGTTTGATTGATTGTCGAGGGCAAATCTTGTAATCGATTTTTCGACCACTTCACCTGCTCCAATCGAGCTCAAATTTTTTATTCACACGTATTCCCGGTGACAATACAATATTTTAACACTTTGGAACCACAAAAATGCTTAATTATAGTACAATTTATGTAAAACTTTTTTATATGGGAAAAAATCCATTGTCAATGATATGAAATTTTGATTTGTTTAAAATATTATACTTGAAATGCTCAAAAGTCATTTATATGATTCATTATAGTTTAAGTAATATTACTAATTATTAATTTTACTATAAATTTGAGCAGCTAAAGATATTTTGGCAAGAAAAAAAATTTGACAAGTAATTTTTTCATGAACATTCGTAAGTGAAAATTTGAATTTTCAAAAATACCGTTAAACACAAGTCCGTTACTAATTAATGCAAAATAACTATCAATATGCGATGTGCATTTAGCATACATATTTAGAGCACACATTTATGCTGTTTTAATTTTTTTACAATATTTATAACACTTCACCAATTTAATTATGTTAATTATTCTATTTATTAACGGCTTGACATTAAATTTGAAAAAATCCGTTATAAATACGTTTCGTATAGATGTGATTTTCATCTTTATGTTAAGAATCTACATGTTATGTAGTAGGAATGGGACGGATAAACTCAAAATCTTTATTTGAACATTTTATTTGAAGGACATTTTTAAAAGAAATTCATGTATTTTCAGGTATGAATTAAATAATTTAAAACGAATGAAAAATTTTGACAGTCTTTACTAATTACCCATTAAAAACTGTTAATTCATAAAAAGTTGGATGAAATGGAGTAAAGCGAAGTGAAATCTAAAACTTCCTGTAATCTAAAAACTGTAACCTCCTTATTAAGTTTGATAGAGCCAGTGTTGTAATAAAACAAAAATTCCAAATTTTGGAAGTTGAATCGATTTATAGATTTGATAAAACTAAAAAGTAGAAAATAAAATACTATAAAAAAAAACTTTTTTAAAAAAGCACGCTTTTATTTCCGATTACAGTGCACTAAAAAAGAGAAAATAATTTTTTTCTGAGAACTAAAATTTGATACAAAATTTTATGACTAAAAATAAAAGCGTGGGGCATTCTTGCATGCATCACTAAATCTTGAATTGTGACAATTAAAAATCATCCATATATGTTTACAAAAGCATTAGGTTTGTGAATATATTATAGAAAATCTAGAGCTGGTTTAAATTAAACGCCCCACGCTTTTATTTTTAGTCATAAAATTTTGTATCAAATTTGAGTTCTCAGAAAAAAATTATTTTCTCTTTTTTAGTGCACTGTAATCGGAAATAAAAGCGTGCTTTTTTAAAAAAGTTTTTTTTTATAGTATTTTTTTAAACACATCTAGGTATTATAAATGATAAAGAATGCTAATATTGATATAAAATCGATATTTTTTGGTGAAAATAGCCTACTCTGATTGAAACCAAAAATGCTTTGAATTGCATTTTAAAACATATCTAGGTATTATAAATGATAAAGAATGCTAATAAAGATATAAAATCGATATAATTTTTTTAAAAATAGCCTACTATGATCAAAACCAAAAATGCTTTTAATTGCATTTTTAAACACATCTAGGTATTATAAATGATAAGGAATGCTAATATAGATATAAAATCGATATAATTTTTTTTAAAATAGCCTACTATGATCAAAACCAAAAATGCTTTAAATTGCATTTTTAAACACATCTAGGTGTTTTAAATGATTAAGAATGCTAATATAGATATAAAATCGATATAATTTTTTTAAAAATAGCCTACTATGATCGAAACCAAAAATGCTTTAAATTGCATTTTTAAACACATCTAGGTATTATAAATGATAAAGATAAAGAATGTTAATATTGATATAAAATCGATATTTTTTGGTGAAAATAGCCTACTATGATCGAAACCAAAAATGTTTTGAATTGCATTTTTAAACACATCTAGGTATTATAAATGATAAGGAATGCTAATATAGATATAAAATCGATATAATTTTTTTAAAAATAGCCTACTATGATCAAAACCAAAAATGCTTTAAATTACATTTTTAAACACATCTAGGTGTTTTAAATGATTAAGAATGCTAATATAGATATAAAATCGATATAATTTTTTTAAAAATAGCCTACTATGATCGAAACCAAAAATGCTTTAAATTGCATTTTTAAACACATCTAGGTATTATAAATGATAAAGATAACGAATGCTAATATTGATATAAAATCGATATTTTTTGGTGAAAATAGCCTACTATGATCGAAACCAAAAATGTTTTGAATTGCATTTTAAAACATATCTAGGTATTATAAATGATAAAGAATGCTAATATAGATATAAAATCGATATAATTTTTTTAAAAATAGCCTACTATGATCAAAACCAAAAATGCTTTAAATTGCATTTTTAAACACATCTAGGTATTATAAATGATAAAGAATGCTAATATAGATATAAAATCGATATTTTTTTGGTGAAAATAGCCTACTCTGATTGAAACCAAAAATGCTTTGAATTGCATTTTAAAACATATCTAGGTATTATAAATGATAAAGAATGCTAATAAAGATATAAAATCGATATAATTTTCTTAAAAATAGCCTACTATGATCAAAACCAAAAATGCTTTAAATTGCATTTTTAAACACATCTAGGTATTATAAATGATAAAGAATGCTAATATTGATATAAAATCGATATTTTTTGGTGAAAATAGCCTACTATGATCGATACCAAAAATGCTTTAAATTGCATTATAAAACATATCTAGGTATTATAAATGATAAAGAATGCTAATAAAGATATAAAATCGATATAATTTTTTTAAAAATAGCCTACTATGATCAAAACCAAAAATGCTTTAAATTGCATTTTTAAACACATCTAGGTATTATAAATGATAAAGAATGCTAATATAGATATAAAATCGATATTTTTTTGGTGAAAATAGCCTACTCTGATTGAAACCAAAAATGCTTTGAATTGCATTTTAAAACATATCTAGGTATTATAAATGATAAAGAATGCTAATAAAGATATAAAATCGATATAATTTTTTTAAAAATAGCCTACTATGATCAAAACCAAAAATGCTTTAAATTGCATTTTTAAACACATCTAGGTATTATAAATGATAAAGAATGCTAATATAGATATAAAATCGATATTTTTTTGGTGAAAATAGCCTACTCTGATTGAAACCAAAAATGCTTTGAATTGCATTTTAAAACATATCTAGGTATTATAAATGATAAAGAATGCTAATAAAGATATAAAATCGATATAATTTTTTTAAAAATAGCCTACTATGATCAAAACCAAAAATGCTTTAAATTGCATTTTTAAACACATCTAGGTATTATAAATGATAAAGAATGCTAATAAAGATATAAAATCGATATAATTTTTTTAAAAATAGCCTACTATGATCAAAACCAAAAATGCTTTTAATTGCATTTTTAAACACATCTAGGTATTATAAATGATAAGGAATGCTAATATAGATATAAAATCGATATAATTTTTTTTAAAATAGCCTACTATGATCAAAACCAAAAATGCTTTAAATTGCATTTTTAAACACATCTAGGTGTTTTAAATGATTAAGAATGCTAATATAGATATAAAATCGATATTTTTTGGTGAAAATAGCCTACTCTGATTGAAACCAAAAATGCTTTGAATTGCATTTTAAAACATATCTAGGTATTATAAATGATAAAGAATGCTAATAAAGATATAAAATCGATATAATTTTTTTAAAAATAGCCTACTATGATCAAAACCAAAAATGCTTTAAATTGCATTTTTAAACACATCTAGGTATTATAAATGATAAAGAATGCTAATATTGATATAAAATCGATATTTTTTGGTGAAAATAGCCTACTCTGATTGAAACCAAAAATGCTTTGAATTGCATTTTAAAACATATCTAGGTATTATAAATGATAAAGAATGCTAATAAAGATATAAAATCGATATAATTTTTTTAAAAATAGCCTACTATGATCAAAACCAAAAATGCTTTAAATTGCATTTTTAAACACATCTAGGTATTATAAATGATAAAGAATGCTAATAAAGATATAAAATCGATATAATTTTTTTAAAAATAGCCTACTATGATCAAAACCAAAAATGCTTTAAATTGCATTTTTAAACACATCTAGGTATTATAAATGATTAAGAATGCTAATATTGATATAAAATCGATATAATTTTTTTAAAAATAGCCTACTTTGATCGAAACCAAAAATGTTTTGAATTGAATTTAAAAACATATCTATGTATTATAAATGATAAAGAATGCTAATATAGATATAAAATCGATATAATTTTTTTAAAAATAGCCTACTATGATCGAAACCAAAAATGCTTTAAATTGCATTTTTAAACACATCTAGGTATTATAAATGATAAAGAATGCTAATATTGATATAAAATCGATATTTTTTGGTGAAAATAGCCTACTATGATCGAAACCAAAAATGTTTTGAATTGCATTTTAAAACATATCTAGGTATTATAAATGATAAAGAATGCTAATATAGATATAAAATCTATATAATTTTTTTAAAAATAGCCTACTATGATCAAAACTAAAAATGCTTTAAATTGCATTTTTAAACACATCTAGGTATTATAAATGATAAAGAATGCTAATATAGATATAAAATCGATATAATTTTTTACCACGTTTTTCTTAACTTGCTTTCTTATCTGTCTGTTTATCTTTCTGTTTATCTGTCGAGGTCAAATCTTTTAATCGATTTTTCGACCTCTTCTACTGCTCCAATCGAGCTGAAATTTTGCATGCACTTATTTTTCCGGTGACAATACAATATTCAAGCGTTTTGGAAACTCAAGTATGCTTAATTATAGTACAATTAAATTAATTTTCTCCTCTTTAAGGCTTAGCTTATTTTTACATAACATATATACAACTTTCAATTATTATAAATTTCAAAAAGCCGTTGTAAGTTTTAATCACAAAAAATACGTTGTACGACTTTCTATGGTTAAATTCTAGTTTACAAACTTATGCTGTGCGATAGCACAGCTGATCGATAGATACTTTAAATAATTTTTTAAAACTAAAAATAATAAATAACTTTTTTATTGGGTTCAAAGGACATTGGTTTGAAAATTGAGATTGATTTGAAAGTTTCATACTAAAGTCATGACCATACATGAATTGCAAATTTATTCACATCGACCATATCGTATAGTTCTACATCTTAAAACGTGGGCGCATTTATACCAAATTTAAGCTTTCCAAAAATACAATATTAATAAATGTATTATAAATGATAAAGAATGCTAATATAGATATAAAATCGATATCTTTTGGTGAAAATAGCCTACTATGATCAAAACCAAAAATGCTTTTAATTGCATTTTTAAACACATCTAGGTATTATAAATGATAAGGAATGCTAATATAGTTATAAAATCGATATAATTTTTTTAAAAATAGCCTACTATGATCAAAACCAAAAATGCTTTAAATTGCATTTTTAAACACATCTAGGTGTTTTAAATGATTAAGAATGCTAATATTGATATAAAATCGATATAATTTTTTTAAAAATAGCCTACTTTGATCGAAACCAAAAATGTTTTGAATTGAATTTAAAAACATATCTATGTATTATAAATGATAAAGAATGCTAATATAGATATAAAATCGATATAATTTTTTTAAAAATAGCCTACTATGATCGAAACCAAAAATGCTTTAAATTGCATTTTTAAACACATCTAGGTATTATAAATGATAAAGAATGCTAATATTGATATAAAATCGATATTTTTTGGTGAAAATAGCCTACTATGATCGAAACCAAAAATGTTTTGAATTGCATTTTAAAACATATCTAGGTATTATAAATGATAAAGAATGCTAATATAGATATAAAATCTATATAATTTTTTTAAAAATAGCCTACTATGATCAAAACTAAAAATGCTTTAAATTGCATTTTTAAACACATCTAGGTATTATAAATGATAAAGAATGCTAATATAGATATAAAATCGATATAATTTTTTACCACGTTTTTCTTAACTTGCTTTCTTATCTGTCTGTTTATCTTTCTGTTTATCTGTCGAGGTCAAATCTTTTAATCGATTTTTCGACCTCTTCTACTGCTCCAATCGAGCTGAAATTTTGCATGCACTTATTTTTCCGGTGACAATACAATATTCAAGCGTTTTGGAAACTCAAGTATGCTTAATTATAGTACAATTAAATTAATTTTCTCCTCTTTAAGGCTTAGCTTATTTTTACATAACATATATACAACTTTCAATTATTATAAATTTCAAAAAGCCGTTGTAAGTTTTAATCACAAAAAATACGTTGTACGACTTTCTATGGTTAAATTCTAGTTTACAAACTTATGCTGTGCGATAGCACAGCTGATCGATAGATACTTTAAATAATTTTTTAAAACTAAAAAGTAGAAAATAAATACTTTATAAAAAAAACTTTTTAAAAAACCACGTTTTACCCGTGGACTAAAAAGTAGAAAATAACTTTTTTATTGGGTTCAAAGGACATTGGTTTGAAAATTGAGATTGATTTGAAAGTTTCATACTAAAGTCATGACCATACATGAATTGTAAATTTATTCACATCGACCATATCGTATAGTACTACATCTTAAAACGTGGGCGCATTTATACCAAATTTAAGCTTTCCAAAAATACAATATTAATAGATGTATTATAAATGATAAGGAATGCTAATATAGATATAAAATCGATATCTTTTGGTGAAAAAAGCCTCCTATGATCCAAACCAAAAATGTTTTAAATTGCATTTTAAAACATATTTAGGTATTATAAATGACAAAGAATGCTATATAGATATAAAATCGATATAATTTTTTACCACGTTTTTCTTAACTTGCTTTCTTATCTGTCTGTTTATCTTTCTGTTTATCTGTCGAGGTCAAATCTTGTAATCGATTTTTCGACCTCTTCTACTGCTCCAATCGAGCTGAAATTTTGCATGCACTTATTTTTCCGGTGACAATACAATATTCAAGCGTTTCGGAAACTCAAAAATGCTTAATTATAGTACAATTAAATTAATTTTCTCCTCTTTAAGGCTTAGCTTATTTTTACATAACATATGTACAACTTTCAATTATTATAAATTTCAAAAAGCCGTTGTAAGTTTTAATCACAAAAAATACGTTGTACGACTTTCTATGGTTAAATTCTAGTTTACAAACTTATGCTGTGCGATAGCACAGCTGATCGATAGATACTTTAAATAATTTTTTAAAACTAAAAAGTAGAAAATAAATACTTTATAAAAAAAACTTTTTAAAAAATCACGTTTTTACCCGTGGACTAAAAAGTAGAAAATAACTTTTTTATTGGGTTCAAAGGACATTGGTTTGAAAATTGAGATTGATTTGAAAGTTTCATACTAAAGTCATGACCATACATGAATTGTAAATTTATTCACATCGACCATATCGTATAGTTCTACATCTTAAAACATGGGCGCATTTATACCAAATTTAAGCTTTCCAAAAATACAATATTAATAGATGTATTATAAATGATAAAGAATGCTAATATAGAAATAAAATCGATATCTTTTGGTAAAAAAAGCCTACTATGATCCAAACCAAAAATGTTTTAAATTGCATTTTAAAACATATTTAGGTATTATAAATGACAAAGAATGCTATATAGATATAAAATCGATATAATTTTTTTTAAAAATAGCCTACTATGATCAAAACCAAAAATGCTTTTAATTGCATTTTTAAACACATCTAGGTATTATAAATGATAAGGAATGCTAATATAGATATAAAATCGATATAATTTTTTTAAAAATAGCCTACTATGATCAAAACCAAAAATGCTTTTAATTGCATTTTTAAACACATCTAGGTATTATAAATGATAAAGAATGCTAATATAGATATAAAATCGATATAATTTTTAGCGCATTTTTGAAACTTGTTTCAAAAAGGTAGCTTAATAACGCACTTTGGTCGGCTGGTCGGCTGGTCGGCTGGTCGGCTGGTCGGCTGGTCGGCTGGTCGGCTGGTCGGCCGCTAAGAAAAACTTTTAATCTAGACATCGTAGAGAGTTCTAGTTTTTTGCATTAGTTCCGTTATATCGAGTTATTGGCCCGCCGGACATTTAAAAATCTTAAAACAGTGTATTTATGCTATAATTAATGAATTTTTGTTTTGTTTTCAGTGTAACCTGCTCAAATTTTATTTTACCTCTATAATTTCAATATTACCTCTATAATTTCAAAAAATTTCTAGCCGTTGTAAAATTTGAATTTCAAAAAACCGTTAAATGATAAACTTTTTTTGTATGGAAATTCATTGGAACAAATTATTTAATTATACTATAATTAATTTTTTCGTAGTGCAACTTATAGCGGGAAAATTTCAAACTATTTATTGACCGTTAGAAAATTTGAATTACAAAAAAATGTTAAATGATAAACCCTTTCTGTATGAAAATTCATTGCAACAAATTATTTAATTATACTATAATTAATTTTTTCGTAGTGCAACTTATAGCGGGAAAATTTCAAATTATTATTATATTGACCGTTAGAAAATTTGAATTACAAGAAACCGTTAAATGATAAACTCTTTCTGTATGGAAATTCATTGCAACAAATTGTTTAATTATACTATAATTAATTTTTTCGTAGTGCAACTTTTAACGGCAAAATTTCAAATTATTTACTGACCGTTAGAAAATTTGAATTACAAAAAATCGTTAAATGATAAATCCTTTCTGTATGGAAATTCATTGCAACAAATTATTTAATTATACTATAATTAATTTTTTCGTAGTGCAACTTATAGCGGGAAAATTTCAAATTATTTAATGACCGTTAGAAAATTTGAATTACAAAAAACCGTTAAATGATAAACCCTTTCTGTATGGAAATTCATTGCAACAAATTGTTTAATTATACTATAATTAATTTTTTCGTAGTGCAACTTTTAACGGCAAAATTTCAAATTATTTACTGACCGTTAGAAAATTTGAATTACAAAAAATCGTTAAATGATAAATCCTTTCGGTATGGAAATTCATTGCAACAAATTATTTAATTATACTATAATTAATTTTTTCGTAGTGCAACTTATAGCGGGAAAATTTCAAATTATTTACTGACCGTTAGAAAATTTGAATTAAAAAAAACCGTTAAATGATAAATCCTTTCTGTATGGAAATTCATTGCAACAAATTATTTAATTATACTATAATTAATTTTTTCGTAGTGCAACTTTTAACGGCAAAATTTCAAATTATTTATTGACCGTTAAATAATAATCCTTTCTATATAAGCATTCATTGTAACTTTTTGTTAATTACACTAAAATTAATGATCTTCTAATCTTCTCATGATCTGTAAATGAACGCAAAATAATTACATAATCAAATACTGATCGCTAACACAAAAATGCGCTTAAGTCCCTCGATCAATAACACGAGGACTTCTGTAATTTTTTTAAAAATAGCCTACTATGATCAAAACCAAAAATGCTTTAAATTACATTTTTAAACACATCTAGGTGTTTTAAATGATTAAGAATGCTAATATAGATATAAAATCGATATAATTTTTTTAAAAATAGCCTACTATGATCGAAACCAAAAATGCTTTAAATTGCATTTTTAAACACATCTAGGTATTATAAATGATAAAGATAACGAATGCTAATATTGATATAAAATCGATATTTTTTGGTGAAAATAGCCTACTATGATCGAAACCAAAAATGTTTTGAATTGCATTTTAAAACATATCTAGGTATTATAAATGATAAAGAATGCTAATATAGATATAAAATCGATATAATTTTTTACTACGTTTTTCTTAACTTGCTTTCTTATCTGTTTGATTGATTGTCGAGGGCAAATCTTGTAATCGATTTTTCGACCACTTCACCTGCTCCAATCGAGCTCAAATTTTTTATTCACACGTATTCCCGGTGACAATACAATATTTTAACACTTTGGAACCACAAAAATGCTTAATTATAGTACAATTTATGTAAAACTTTTTTATATGGGAAAAAATCCAACGTCAATGATATGAAATTTTGATTTGTTTAAAATATTATACTTGAAATGCTCAAAAGTCATTTATATGATTCATTATAGTTTAATAATTATTACTAATTATTAATTATACCATAAATTTGAGCAGCTAAAGATATTCTGGTAAGACAAAAAAATTGACATGTAATTTTTTCATGAATATTCGTAAGTGAAAATTTGAATTTTCAAAAAAACCGTTAAGCAATAAATACGTTACGAATTAATGCAAAATAACTATATATATGAGATATGCATTTACCACACATAGTTTGAGCATAAATTTATGCTGTTTTAAATGTATTGCATTATTTATAACACTTCACCAACTTAATTAAATTGACTTTTCATTTTATTAACGGCTTGACGTATTTTTGCATAACATATAAATGATACTCATTGAATTTAAATTTGAAAATCCGTTATAAATACGTTACATATGTGATGTAATTTGCATCTTTATGTTAAGAATCCACACGTTATGAAGTAGAAATGGTACAGATAAACACAAAATCTTTACGAGTGATTTTTAATGTACTTCACTAATGAATGCTTTAAAAAAATTAAATTTTATAAAACGAATGAAAAAATTTTGAAGTCGTTACTAATTTCCCATTGAAAACTGGTAATTTATAAACAGTTGAACGTAACGGAGTGAAACGGAGTGGAGTTCAACACACCTGTAGCCTATGAACCTACTGTAATCTATAAACAGTTGAACGTAACGAAGTGCAAAGAAGTGAAGTTCAACACACTTGTAACCTATGAACCTACTGTAATCTATAAACAGTTGAACGTTACGAAGTGCAACGAAGTGGAGTTCAACACACCTGTAACCTATAAACCTACTGTAATCTATAAGCAGTTGAACGTAACGGAGTGAAACGGAGTGGAGTTCAACACACCTGTAACCTATGAACCTACTGTAATCTATAAACAGTTGAACGTAACGAAGTGCAACGAAGTGAAGTTCAACACACCTGTAACCTATGAACCTACTGTAATCTATAAACAGTTGAACGTAACGAAGTGCAACGAAGTGAAGTTCAACACACCTGTAACCTATGAACCTACTGTAATCTATAAACAGTTGAACGTAACGAAGTGCAACGAAGTGAAGTTCAACACACCTGTAACCTATGAACCTACTGTAATCTATAAACAGTTGAACGTAACGAAGTGCAACGAAGTGAAGTTCAACACACCTGTAACCTATGAACCTACTGTAATCTATAAACAGTTGAACGTAACGAAGTGCAACGAAGTGAAGTTCAACACACCTGTAACCTATGAACCTACTGTAATCTATAAACAGTTGAACGTAACGAAGTGCAACGAAGTGAAGTTCAACACACCTGTAACCTATGAACCTACTGTAATCTATAAACAGTTGAACGTAACGAAGTGCAACGAAGTGAAGTTCAACACACCTGTAACCTATAAACCTACTGTAATCTATAAACAGTTGAACGTAACGAAGTGCAACGAAGTGAAGTTCAACACACCTGTAACCTATAAACCTACTCTAATCTATAAACAGTTGAACGTAACGAAGTGCAACGAAGTGGAGTTCAACACACCTGTAACCTATAAACCCCCTATAATCTTTATTTCTCTATTTCATTAGAATAAGACTAAAAAGTAGAAAATAAAATACTTTATAAAAAAAAACTTTTTAAAAAAACTACGTTTTTCGCGTAGACTAAAAAGTAGAAAATAACTTTTATTCTTGGTTGTAAAGAATTTGGTTTTAAATTTTCAGATTATATTTAATAAATTTTTATATCCTAGTCAATATTGTTCACAAAGTTTCGAATAAGTGCACTTTGATCTTATCGTATAACTCAACAACTTAAAAACGTGGGCGCATTATAAGAGGAGAAATAAGTTTATGTGAAATCAATACTTTATGATAAACTTAAATTAATGCGCCCACGTTTTTAAGTTGTTGAGTTATACGATAAGATCAAAGTGCACTTATTCGAAACTTTGTGAACAATATTGACTAGGATATAAAAATTTATTAAATATAATCTGAAAATTTAAAACCAAATTCTTTACAACCAAGAATAAAAGTTATTTTCTACTTTTTAGTCTACGCGAAAAACGTAGTTTTTTTAAAAAGTTTTTTTTTATAAAGTATTTTTAAAAATAGCCTACTATGATCAAAACCAAAAATGCTTTAAATTGCATTTTTAAACACATCTAGCTATTATAAATGATAAAGAATGCTAATATAGATATAAAATCGATATTTTTTGGTGAAAATAGCCTACTATGATCGAAACCAAAAATGTTTTGAATTGCATTTTAAAACATATCTAGGTATTATAAATGATAAAGAATGCTAATATAGATATAAAATCGATATAATTTTTTTAAAAATAGCCTACTATGATCAAAACCAAAAATGCTTTAAATTGCATTTTTAAACACATCTAGGTATTATAAATGATAAAGAATGCTAATATAGATATAAAATCGATATTTTTTTGGTGAAAATAGCCTACTCTGATTGAAACCAAAAATGCTTTGAATTGCATTTTAAAACATATCTAGGTATTATAAATGATAAAGAATGCTAATAAAGATATAAAATCGATATAATTTTCTTAAAAATAGCCTACTATGATCAAAACCAAAAATGCTTTAAATTGCATTTTTAAACACATCTAGGTATTATAAATGATAAAGAATGCTAATATTGATATAAAATCGATATTTTTTGGTGAAAATAGCCTACTATGATCGAAACCAAAAATGCTTTAAATTGCATTATAAAACATATCTAGGTATTATAAATGATAAAGAATGCTAATAAAGATATAAAATCGATATAATTTTTTTAAAAATAGCCTACTATGATCAAAACCAAAAATGCTTTAAATTGCATTTTTAAACACATCTAGGTATTATAAATGATAAAGAATGCTAATATAGATATAAAATCGATATTTTTTTGGTGAAAATAGCCTACTCTGATTGAAACCAAAAATGCTTTGAATTGCATTTTAAAACATATCTAGGTATTATAAATGATAAAGAATGCTAATAAAGATATAAAATCGATATAATTTTTTTAAAAATAGCCTACTATGATCAAAAACAAAAATGCTTTAAATTGCATTTTTAAACACATCTAGGTATTATAAATGATAAAGAATGCTAATATTGATATAAAATCGATATTTTTTGGTGAAAATAGCCTACTCTGATTGAAACCAAAAATGCTTTGAATTGCATTTTAAAACATATCTAGGTATTATAAATGATAAAGAATGCTAATAAAGATATAAAATCGATATAATTTTTTTAAAAATAGCCTACTATGATCAAAACCAAAAATGCTTTAAATTGCATTTTTAAACACATCTAGGTATTATAAATGATAAAGAATGCTAATATTGATATAAAATCGATATTTTTTGGTGAAAATAGCCTACTCTGATTGAAACCAAAAATGCTTTGAATTGCATTTTAAAACATATCTAGGTATTATAAATGATAAAGAATGCTAATAAAGATATAAAATCGATATAATTTTTTTAAAAATAGCCTACTATGATCAAAACCAAAAATGCTTTTAATTGCATTTTTAAACACATCTAGGTATTATAAATGATAAGGAATGCTAATATAGATATAAAATCGATATAATTTTTTTTAAAATAGCCTACTATGATCAAAACCAAAAATGCTTTAAATTGCATTTTTAAACACATCTAGGTGTTTTAAATGATTAAGAATGCTAATATAGATATAAAATCGATATAATTTTTTTAAAAATAGCCTACTATGATCGAAACCAAAAATGCTTTAAATTGCATTTTTAAACACATCTAGGTATTATAAATGATAAAGATAAAGAATGCTAATATTGATATAAAATCGATATTTTTTGGTGAAAATAGCCTACTATGATCGAAACCAAAAATGTTTTGAATTGCATTTTTAAACACATCTAGGTATTATAAATGATAAGGAATGCTAATATACATATAAAATCGATATAATTTTTTTAAAAATAGCCTACTATGATCAAAACCAAAAATGCTTTAAATTACATTTTTAAACACATCTAGGTGTTTTAAATGATTAAGAATGCTAATATAGATATAAAATCGATATAATTTTTTTAAAAATAGCCTACTATGATCGAAACCAAAAATGCTTTAAATTGCATTTTTAAACACATCTAGGTATTATAAATGATAAAGATAACGAATGCTAATATTGATATAAAATCGATATTTTTTGGTGAAAATAGCCTACTATGATCGAAACCAAAAATGTTTTGAATTGCATTTTTAAACACATCTAGGTATTATAAATGATAAGGAATGCTAATATACATATAAAATCGATATAATTTTTTTAAAAATAGCCTACTATGATCAAAACCAAAAATGCTTTAAATTACATTTTTAAACACATCTAGGTGTTTTAAATGATTAAGAATGCTAATATAGATATAAAATCGATATAATTTTTTTAAAAATAGCCTACTATGATCAAAACCAAAAATGCTTTAAATTGCATTTTTAAACACATCTAGGTATTATAAATGATAAAGAATGCTAATATAGATATAAAATCGATATTTTTTTGGTGAAAATAGCCTACTCTGATTGAAACCAAAAATGCTTTGAATTGCATTTTAAAACATATCTAGGTATTATAAATGATAAAGAATGCTAATAAAGATATAAAATCGATATAATTTTCTTAAAAATAGCCTACTATGATCAAAACCAAAAATGCTTTAAATTGCATTTTTAAACACATCTAGGTATTATAAATGATAAAGAATGCTAATATTGATATAAAATCGATATTTTTTGGTGAAAATAGCCTACTATGATCGAAACCAAAAATGCTTTAAATTGCATTATAAAACATATCTAGGTATTATAAATGATAAAGAATGCTAATAAAGATATAAAATCGATATAATTTTTTTAAAAATAGCCTACTATGATCAAAACCAAAAATGCTTTAAATTGCATTTTTAAACACATCTAGGTATTATAAATGATAAAGAATGCTAATATAGATATAAAATCGATATTTTTTTGGTGAAAATAGCCTACTCTGATTGAAACCAAAAATGCTTTGAATTGCATTTTAAAACATATCTAGGTATTATAAATGATAAAGAATGCTAATAAAGATATAAAATCGATATAATTTTTTTAAAAATAGCCTACTATGATCAAAACCAAAAATGCTTTAAATTGCATTTTTAAACACATCTAGGTATTATAAATGATAAAGAATGCTAATATTGATATAAAATCGATATTTTTTGGTGAAAATAGCCTACTCTGATTGAAACCAAAAATGCTTTGAATTGCATTTTAAAACATATCTAGGTATTATAAATGATAAAGAATGCTAATAAAGATATAAAATCGATATAATTTTTTTAAAAATAGCCTACTATGATCAAAACCAAAAATGCTTTAAATTGCATTTTTAAACACATCTAGGTATTATAAATGATAAAGAATGCTAATAAAGATATAAAATCCGTATAATTTTTTTAAAAATAGCCTACTATGATCAAAACCAAAAATGCTTTTAATTGCATTTTTAAACACATCTAGGTATTATAAATGATAAGGAATGCTAATATAGATATAAAATCGATATAATTTTTTTTAAAATAGCCTACTATGATCAAAACCAAAAATGCTTTAAATTGCATTTTTAAACACATCTAGGTGTTTTAAATGATAAAGAATGCTAATATAGATATAAAATCGATATTTTTTGGTGAAAATAGCCTACTCTGATTGAAACCAAAAATGCTTTGAATTGCATTTTAAAACATATCTAGGTATTATAAATGATAAAGAATGCTAATAAAGATATAAAATCGATATAATTTTTTTAAAAATAGCCTACTATGATCAAAACCAAAAATGCTTTAAATTGCATTTTTAAACACATCTAGGTATTATAAATGATAAAGAATGCTAATATTGATATAAAATCGATATTTTTTGGTGAAAATAGCCTACTCTGATTGAAACCAAAAATGCTTTGAATTGCATTTTAAAACATATCTAGGTATTATAAATGATAAAGAATGCTAATAAAGATATAAAATCGATATAATTTTTTTAAAAATAGCCTACTATGATCAAAACCAAAAATGCTTTAAATTGCATTTTTAAACACATCTAGGTATTATAAATGATAAAGAATGCTAATAAAGATATAAAATCGATATAATTTTTTTAAAAATAGCCTACTATGATCAAAACCAAAAATGCTTTTAATTGCATTTTTAAACACATCTAGGTATTATAAATGATAAGGAATGCTAATATAGATATAAAATCGATATAATTTTTTTAAAAATAGCCTACTATGATCAAAACCAAAAATGCTTTAAATTGCATTTTTAAACACATCTAGGTATTATAAATGATAAAGAATGCTAATATAGATATAAAATCGATATTTTTTTGGTGAAAATAGCCTACTCTGATTGAAACCAAAAATGCTTTGAATTGCATT